CACGACTCGCTTCCTTCCAGATACTCTCCCAATCCTTTATTCACCAATCATTCTATAATTTAGGGGTGAATGGTCTCAGATACTTACAGGATCTTAGAATTAGACACAAAAAACAAACATACACGTCACTAATTAAACTATTTTGTATCTCGGTTCTGCTTCATTACATTGTACAGTTAAGTTAACCAGCTCTAAGAAGTAAAGTCTCCGACAACTACGCTAATTTGTTGCTTAAAGTTCAGTTCCACTCGCAGGAATTGGTGCAAATGGAATGTGGAATGCAAAGCATGCACAATAATTTCACAATGTCCCTTTAATCAATAATGGACATCCAAATGGAATTCGGTGGGGAGAGAAGCTCTCGAACGGCTTATAGTCCTGTGAAATGTATGCGCCTCAACGGGCGGCAGTCCGTGGTCCAGCTCGGATAACTAAAACCTATTGTCAGTATTTCCATCTAATTATGAAACTTTCGCCTCACATCCTAAGACAAGAATATTGGTTGTGGGCAAAAATTATGAGAGAAGCATGACGTTTCGGAGAAACATATTACTTCTATCTTCAGGACTGAAATTTCGTGGAAGTTTCCTGCTTCACTTACCCTTCAGCTCTGAAAAATGAACTAGTACGTTCCAAGTAAGAACAGGTATTTACTAACTCAGAGACTATCAGCTTCCCAAGAAAGTTAAAAGCTCTAAATTACACGCTTACTAATTAAACCGTTTTTATTTTCTTACAGTTATAACACGATATCAATGAAACCAATACTGCCACCACACCAGATGAATCTACTGGTTCGTTCTTCAAAGTCAAACGAATACTAATCACATGCAGAATGTTGGTAGTACTTATTTACAAGCAGGGTATTCGGTTGGTAAGGCCTGTGGCGACTAGGTTACCGGCTGGATAACCGTAGAACCGGGGTTCTATTCCCGGAGGAGAGGACATTTATTTCTGTGTCACTGCTTTCAGACAGGATCTGGGGTCCACTCTGTCTCCTATCCAATCTGTACGGTGGTTCTTCTCCCGGGGGTAAAGGGCCGAGGCGTGACCCTTACCACCCACTTTCAAGCAGTTTCGAAGGTTAAGTAACAATGGAGCTACACTTCCACAGAAAGGCTATGGCTTATAGTGAATTGTAGTACCAGTCCTACCAACAATAATGTAACTCCCGTTGAAAGTCCAGCGGAAGTCTCATCATTTCATTTGTTTTATAATTTTTCGTATTATTAATCTCTTCTGCTTTCTTTCACATTCTTTCCAGTAAAAGGTAAAGTTTTCCCTGTGCTTAATTAATTAAGTACTATTTCATAAAGATTCGTCAAGGCATCTCCAACGAATAACGCGCAAAAATACTCAATCGTAAGCCGTCTCATTTATATAGCACATAAAACTTCACATATCTACATCAAAATACTGTTAGTTATCACAGAATGCACACAACACACTGACATAAATGACTGCTCGTTTGTTCACGACTTACTACAAATGGAAAGTGCTAATGCTGAGCATTTCGTTGTTGTGTTAGCCAGAAATTGCGCAATGACAATGACAAGACTCACGCCTACAAGGCTTTTGTGCGGATAGAATGATATATATACAACTTACTAGGTTCTGAAAATATGTTGCTTTTTTTTTTTTTTACTCTCAAATTTTTTTCTGCACATCATTTCACATAACGGCTGGGAGTGACTTATCGTTGAAATTTCAGAGGCAGCGAGCATTCTATGAACTGACAGTATTAAATAAATAAATAAGCCCAATTCACTGATCCCGTCTCTGAAAGCTACGCTGAATTTCCTATTGAAGATGCATGTTACTGATGTATGTTTAAAATTAAAAATATCTCTTTGAAGTCTGGAACGTAAATCAAAAGTTAGTGTATGGAGAAATAAAAAAAAACGAATTATATAATTTTAGCAACGTATAAAATACACTTCATATTAGACATATTTAAATACTTGTTACCTTAAATGACATCAATGTAGGCGTAATCATATTCGTGATCGGGAAAATGTCTTTTTTAATTCCATTCTAATTAAAGTGCGGACCACCTCTATGGTCTAGTGTTGAGAGGTACCCGGTTCGCTTCCCGACGCTACCATATTTTCTGAGAAGTAGTGGGTCTCGTGAGGATAATTGAGTAATTACTTGAATGGAATAACGGCTCCGGTCTAGAAAACCGAGATTAACGTCCGTGGGGATCCGTTGCGCTGACCACGTGACACACTATCCGCTAAAGTTGGCACTAACTTCGCCGAAAAGCAGAGGTCGCTCGGTCGAGATATTTCGCTTGCGGACTAAAACCAAGGAGTTTTTCTTATTGTAAAGAAAGTATATACTTTTCCGGTTTTCACTTTGGAAAATTTCTTAGAGCAAAACAAGGAACCCGGGCGCAACAATTTTCAATAGAACATGGCAGATACCGGCAAATGCGGACGACATGGCCATCCCTACCCGCAATGCAAATGGTTTAAATGAAGTCCTTGAATAAACACAGGCAACATCGTCTTCTGCTGGGTTCATAATCAATACTGAGAAAACCAAGTACATGCAAGGTTGCGGGAGGAGTGAACTTGCGATAAATGGCATTGCAATAGGCGAGGAAATCTTTGAAGTGGTCTCACCTTTCAAATATCTCGGCTGTCTCATAACTCGGCTGCAGATATAAAGGAACAAATTACTATAGGCAACAGATGTTTCTATGCAGTTTGAAGCCTCCTCAGAGTAAGATATATATCCATGAAAATAAAAACGAAAATATATAAAACAATTTCTTCCAAATATAATTAGAATGATCAAGTCAAGGAAGATGATGTGGGCAGGGCATGCAGCACAAATGGGGGAATGCATATAAGATATTGGTGGGAAAGCCAGAAGGAAAGAGACCACTGGGAAGACCAATGTGCAGGTCGGTGGACAATATTAAAATGGATCTTAGAGAGATAGGATGGGATGGTATGGATTGGATTGATCTGGCTCAGGACAGGGACCAGTAGTGGCCTCTTGTGAACAACGTAGTGAACCTTCGGGTTCCATAAAATGCTGGGAAATTCTTGAGTAGCTGCAGAATTGGCGGCTCCTCCAGAAGGGCTCAGCTCCATGAGTAAGTAACAAAGTATTCTTTTTGTTGCTTGTGGGGTGGGACTAAGTCCCTTGTACTGCGGCCACTACTGGCCTATTGTACCAGCCCCAGCTGATAGGTGAGGGTGATTTTGGAGCAATTGATGGAATGAAGATTGACAGGGGAAATCGAAGTACTCGGAGAAAACCTGCCCCAGCGCCACTTTGTCCACCACAAATCTCACTTGACCAGACCAGGGATCGAACCCGGGCCGCCGCGGTGGGAAGCTAGCGACTAACCGCTTGAGCTATGGCACGGCCCTTTGTAACTAAGTAAGTAAGTAATATAAAATAATTAACCTGCTGTCCTTTTCGATAGTGAAACCCGGACAATTACAGAGAAATCAACAGCAACTCTCATGTCCTGGAAAGGGAAAATTTTGTGAAGGATATATGGTCCTTTATGTATAAATGGTACATGGTGAATAAGATCTAATAGGGAACTGGAAATGTTCTGCGTTTGGAGAGTAGTAGGGTACCACAAAGAATCCTGGATGGCAGACCTGAATGGAAAAGAAACATTTGGAGACCGAGACTAAGATGGCTGGATAATGTTATGAATGATTTAAGAAATATAAGAGTAAGGCAACGGAGGGCCGCGCCATAGCTCAAGCGGTTAGTCGATGGCTTCCCACCGCGGCGGCCCGGGTTAGATCCCGGTTCTGTTCATGTGGGATTTGTGGTGGACAAAGTGGCGCTGGGGCGACTTTTCTCCGAGTACTTCGGTTTCCCTTGCCAATCTTCATTCCAACAATTGCTCCACAATCACCCTCACCTATCATTTGGGGCTGGTACAATAGGCCAGAAATGGCCACAGTACAAGGAACTTAGCAAAAGAAAAAAGACAATGGAGAAAGAAGGCTGAAAATGGACTAGAATGGGCAAGAATAATGAGGGAGACAAAGGTGAAACTTAAAAGGACAGTACAATCAAAGAATAAGAATAAGATTTCTGGGTTTCATTTCATAAACACTAGGTCATAACTTGACAGTCACAATGGCCGCGCCGTCTAAGGCATGAACCATCTTCTCTTGCTCGAACCCTGGGGTCGTGGGCTCGAATCTCACTCAAGGTATTTATGTCTATGTGCGCTTATTCTGCGTGTAGGTAGCGGTCTTCAGATAGGCTTGGACTCCCGCCCAAGGAGTCCTACCGGCTGTGCATAGATTAAGGAACTGAAACAGCAGCCAAGGCCCTCAAGGACCGTAGGGCCATGGAGAGATGGGTGATATTCCACGCGTAAGTCTTCATTTAGATACATGCCAATGTCGCCATATACTCAACAAAGCCAGCAATTAACAGGTCGGTTAAGCAGCAACTTTCCGGATTTCTAACAGTGAAGTCCTGGATTCGAATCTCGGACGGGACACAGGCTATCCTGAATGTAGATTTTTCATGGTTGACCTAGTTCCCTACAGGTAAATTCAATGGCAGTGCTTCGACGTACAACACTGCTATTTGCTTCCAAATATTTTCGAATTCGCCTTTCATCTTCCATCCTCCGGCTGGAACAAATGTGAAGTGGAGGCATAGCTCCACCATTCTTAACCTCGGCAATAGATGGAAGAGAGTGGTCAGCTTCGAATCTCGGCTTTACCCCGGCGAAAAGCACCCGTCTCAGATTTTATAAAAGACTGGGTTGGGCCCCAGATACTGTCTGGACGCTGTGGAATAGAGAAAAATCTCTTGCCCCTGCCCCGGCTTCACAACCCATCGCTATACAGACTGAGTCATCGCGACTCCTTGCTCGGTGTTGCAGGCATAAATAAGGAACAAACACAAAAGATCTATTTCCTTACTTTTAGCGGTATTTCGCTGATAGATCGGGCCTGCCACAAAGTTCCGGTATCGGGAACACAGTGTCGCGCCGTACTCACCGCTTCTGTGTGTATAGGATGCGCCGCGAAGAGGATGCCTGCCGCCCCGGCGAAATTTGGCTGAAGTCCGGCGACTGCCAGACACACGCGCGTGAAGAGCAATGATGCGGCCGCGTGAAGAAGCACGTTGCACACGTGGAACCATAGTGGCTGCAGCCCCGACACCTGGTAGTTGGCTCTGCAAGCAATAACAGTCCGCCTTTATAATTTCACGTTCATGTCGTTACAAGTTTCTTTTGGTGGGGTGAGACTGAGTCCACTTGGCACGACGGCCACTGTTTGGCCTACTGTACCAGCCCCGCATGATAGATGATGAGTGTGAAGCAGTCAGTGGAATGAGAACTGGCAGGGGAAATCGAAATACTCGAAGTAAGCCTGCCCCAGTACCACTTTGTCCACCATAAATCCCACCTGACCTGACTTGAACCCTAGCCGCCTCAGTGGGAAACCGGCAACTAAACCCCTGAGCTAGGCACGGCCATGTTGCTACTATATTGACGTCAACACTTTGAAGCACTCAACTAAGCAAGTGCCCCTCACCCGAGGATGGCAGTATATTCGGCTCCCGAAACAGTGTTTTTATGTTTTTTAGAATTATAGAAGACTGTTAAAGTCCAAAAAACAGATAAGTAATTACCACGAGTATTTTTTACCAAATATTTACCAGGGTTATCAAACTGTGGGTGAAGAGACGGGCGGGTGAACCTCGCTATAAACACTGAATCGTTACGTTGTCATACATGGTATGAGAAAGTTGTCGTGAATGTAGGAAAACCTATTTAGAGATTCTGACGTATTTACATGTCTTTGGGCCCTAGATAAGAACAAATATGCTTTCGTAATGTGATTCGTAATACGTGCATATATGTACGGATGTGGCCGTCGGTAGCACGTGAAAGGTTCGAACGATTTGGTTCATATTCGCTACTTAAAAGTTGGTCCATTCCATCGGATAGCGGTATATGTAAATATTGCAGGTCCAAAAATAGGGGCCTTTCACATGAATACCCAAAACACAAAATTACGATTTCCTCCAAAATTTCTCTAACAATTTTTCTTTCAAAGTTCAGAAATTTATGTAGTTTATCCCCCTAAACAAAACTTCATAGGCGATTCCTTCAGAAAAACAACGGTATGCTCATTAAGACCCGAAGTGCGAAATGTCGATTTCGGCGAAATCGCTTTTACCAGTAGCACGAACGTGATTATCCTTCAGTCTACCAAGCAAAAACCTATTTCGTTTCTAAGATATCATCGTCAGGGTCAGTTTTATATGTTAAAAAAAAACAATATTCTTCGCCAATTCCTTATTATATCTATCTATCTACCTACCTACCTATCTACTTATTTATCTATCTATCTAAGGCTCTACAACCCTTTCTTGGACCTTGGCCACTTTTCCAATTTCTTGATCTTATACACAGTCGGTACCAAGGCGTAGGTGGGTGGAAAATATTAAAATGGACCTTAGCGTGATAGGATGGAATGGTATGGATTGGTTTGATCTGGCTCAGGATAGGGAGCAGTGGAGGGCTCTTGTGAACGCGGTAATGAACCTTCGGGTTCCATCAAATGCTGGGAAATCCTCTTGGATGGGAGAACAGACAGTCGCAAGGCCGCTACCTGCCAACTGAACAGAATAATCAGAATAAACGCACGCAGACATCAATGCCTCAAGTGGGATTCGAACCCACGATCCCAGTGTTTGATCGGGCGAAGACAGTTCATGCATTAGACCGCGCGGCCATTGTCTTGCCATTCCCATACTGAGGGCAGAGGCTGGTAACGAACCCGAAACTTACGTAATACCTTACTTGCAGCCTTAACCATTCACGGTCGAACATATATCAGGATAACCAGTCATTAAAAAAAAACAAATTTCCGAAATATTATATATATTTTTTTAACAACGAGCAGGAGTTCATTGCAATAATTTATATGATCCTTTTAAAGTTAATCCCCGCTTAGATCAATGTTACGGCAATAATTCTGGACGTCTCTGCTTTCCTGACTTTCCTCCGAAACGAAATGGAGTTGTGCGGCGACATCTGTACCTCCACCTCATCAATATTCCCACTGCCGCTCCCTTGTGGCGCCCCATCAGGAGACTCAAGTGAGTTCACTGCCAGGACAGTAGCGGGTGGCGGGCGTGCAGTAGGATTAGCACCACAAACCCCCTCTCTCTAGCTCCAGATGTAGGTCGAGTGAGAGACAGTATTAATTAGGATTTCAGATGGGAAATGTACATACACCAAATGGAATATGCGGGTTGTACTTATGTGCCCATGGAATAGTTTCGGGATATGAGAAGGATTTCATTCTTGAAATTATACGGCGTCTTATTTCACTGCCACCGGGCAAAAACCCATTTGCAGTTTAAATAATAATAATATTCTGTGGTCGATCACAGTGGCATGAACTGTCTTCGCTCGCTCGAACGCTGAGATCGTGGGTTCGAATCTGACTCGAGACATGGATGTCTATGTGCGTTTTTTCTGTTTGTGTTGTCCCGTGTGTAGGTAGCGGCCTTTCGACGGGCTGATCCCCCGTCCAAGGAATCCTACCGACTGTGTATATGGTTAAGAAACCGAAAAAGCGTCAAAGGTCCACCAGTAGAACAGTAGAGTCATATAGATAGATATATTCTGTGTAGAGCTAAGCTTCGATTAGAATTTGAGGTTCTCACAATGATCTTTATGAAGAGTTCTGTCTTGTAATATATATAACTCCGTTGTAATCTGTTGAAAGTCAACAGACGTTTTGGATGAACACGTCGCTAACATCTCCGGAGTCGTAGAGTAAGACGAGAAACAAATCAGATCTGATTTCCGCCTGCTTTCAAAGCTGACTTTTTGCTTGTCTTATTATTCAAAGATGGAGGCCACATGTCCCTCTGAAACGTCCGTTGACTATCAGAGGATTACACGGTGTTATATCCCAGAAGCAGAAATCTTCAAGCTTCGACTATCCTAAAGTAAATTGCTTTGAGGGCCGCGCCGTAGCTCAAGCGGTTAGTCGCTGGATTCTCACCGCGGCGGCCCGGCTTCGATCCCGGGTCTGGTCAAATAGGATTTGTGGCGGACAAAGTGGCACTGGGGCAAGTTTTCTCCGAGTACTTCGGTTTCCCCTGCCAATCTTCATTCCACCAATTGCTCCACAATCACCCTCACCTATCATCTGGGGCTGGTACAATAGGCCAGAAGTGGCCGCAGTAGAAGGTACTTAGTCCCACCCCACTAGCAATAAAAAAAATGCTTTAAACTTATATAATGTCCAGATTCGATTATGAAGGAATGGGTGGTAACCAGCCGAAAAATGTGAAGGGTGTTTATTTTTATATACTTAAAAACTTACTTTTTAGCATCTCAAGGGTCTTCTTACCTGCAATACCCCATCAGATCATGTTGCGTACAATGGGAAGCCACGTATACAGAATGCAGATACTAATAATCCAGCTTATGGAGGAAAAATACAGTTATTTAACGTCGTAGATAGGTTCTTGTAAGCCTCTATGTTATGCGAAACGTCGTTAAGCAGATACACTTTCACCATAAAGAACCTAAGATATAAGCAGGTTAGGTTCCTCAGCCTTTCTTCACCCTCCATAATGTGCATTGCTACATAGGCAATATGGACGTGACTGTATATACTTGTACATTCTTATTTATAAATACAAAAATCTCTGTGGCCTGCAGTCCGCAAGCGAACTACACCGAACGAGCGCCCGCCCCTTGTCGGCGAAGTCAGTGCCAACTTCTGATAGAGGGTGTCACGTGGTCAGCGCAACGGATCCCCACGGCCGTTAATCTCGATTTCCTAGACCGTATCTATAAGTACATGCAATTAAAATTTCAACAATATTTATTTTGCATTTAGTGCGAAATGTTGTATTCACCGATGGCCAGAGCTGAAGCGAGCGAGTGGGGTGGATGAGGCCCACTGACATCAACATTAAACACCTGTTTTGGGCGGGTAACCCTCCACTTCGACCGTTTAGTTAAACTCTGGGATGAACAACGGCGTAATAACAAGTTAACACGACGTCGTGTGGGGTCTTGGTATGGAAACAGTATCAGCGTAATAACGAAACAACGTCAACTGGGACAAACTTAGGCGAGGAATTACTGTATATCACGAATTCGCATTACGTGGAAGGATCACTTCTGAATTCAGGGTATGCATGGCGGATGCTTCACATATGCAGGGCATCTATTTCAGTTGCTTCACATATGCAGGGTATCCATGGCGGATGCTTCACATATGCAGGGCATCTATGTCTCATGCTTCACATAAGCAGGGCATCTATGTCGGATGCTTCGCATATGCAGGGCATCTATGTCTCATGCTTCACATAAGCAGGGCATCTATGTCGGATGCTTCGCATATGCAGGGCATCTATGTCTCATGCTTCACATAAGCAGGGCATCTATGTCGGGTGCTTCATATATGTAGGTATCCATGGCGGATGCTTCATATATGCAGGGCATCTATGTCGGATGCTTCACATATGCAGGGTATCCATGGCGGATGCTTCGCATATGCAAGGTATATATGTCCGTTGCTTCGTATGGACTGAAGAAAATAAGGAAAATACTCAGTCCAGATAGTCGGTGTGAATGTAGAGATTCTAACTTGGATCTTCCAAAATAAAAATCAGAGGCATTATCACTTATTCAAATTTGTTCAAAGTGTATCTTGAAATTGGCCACCAACGCCTTCTTCCACATGCTTTCCAAATAATTATTTGCTGTCATCCAATCTTTCGACAATATATATACAGAACTCATTAGCGTCATCAAATGAAGTGAAAATAAATAATTATATATATTTCTCTTTACTGTGAGGTTTAATTCTCCTGGGAAATTCATTATCACGGGCGAATATAGGATAGAACGAAAGGATCACAGCGTGTGCAGTGACATATTCTGGTTCTTCCGTGAGATAGAGTTACGCTAAAATTAGAATGCTGCATGAACCCCCTAAAACGTGCTCATTACGTCATATCATTTTAGTCTAGGTGAGTGGCAGTCAGGTAATGTGGCTTGGGGGGTTCCTGACAGCGATAAGGTGGCAACCAGATTAATCGGAGAAGAGCAAGTTTTGCTCATTAAGCGCCATATTCTTCCCCCATCCAAATTACTTCAGAACAGCGACCCAGTAATTGGGGCTGTCTTAAAC